AAAGAGCAAACTCGAGCGAAAATTAGATTAATTTTCCATTGGAGATTATTATATTACTGATAGTGCTATTTTATGATTATTTTTCTTTTAGAAAATATAAGATATTGGAGTAAAGGCTTTTATTCTTTTGGAATAAAATTTTCTAAATAAATACAATCGTTTTACGTATTATGTACGTATTTTAAATACGAAGTGTTAAAGTTTTCAAAAGTAGAGTAGATTTAATACTTCAATACTGTACAATACTTTATACTAACATTTGATGTCTCTTTTTCAGGAAATTCTCGCGCGTATGAGAAATGCACTTGCGTGACATTTCAAGCGTATAGAAGGGTGAATATAAATATATATTGAAGCGAGCCAAGCGACCCGAACTTACATTTTTCAACACAAAAGACAATTGACGTAAATCGATTCTTATCCCCTTCGACCCTCTTTCTTCTGTCCACCAACCGCATGGAAATATCCAGGGAGATCCATCTTGGGCCTTCCTCCTTCCCTCTTTGTGAATTATATATAGAGAACGATTATAGGGCCCTCTTTATCCTCCTTTTAAAAAAATCATATAACGATTCCTTGAATGGGAACTGGAATCTTCTTTATTTTGTCTTTTTAAATTTCATGACGAATTTCGAAAAGTAATCTTTTTCTTTTTTTTTTGTAGATGTTGCGGATTTTAACTCTTTCTTTCGTGTATTCTGGTATGTATTTGTGTGTATATAGTTCCTCAACAATAGAAACAATTCGATGATTTTGAAACGCAACGATAAATTATGAATTTAAGATTTAATTTAAGATTGTAAGAAGAGTTAAAAATTTGTAATTTATTAGAAAGAGGATGGAACACATGTTGGATGAATTTATTGTTAAAATAATAGGACAAGTGAACTCATATATATCTCACACGAAGAAGTATATATATAAGGATTATTATAGAAGATTTTATTAATCGTTAGAAAGCAATTTTAGAAAGCATTTCTAACGAGAAAGCAATAAACAGTTTATTAATTATATTAGTATGTGTAATATAATTTTTAGTTAAAAAAATACAAGACATTTATAATTGAAAATTATGAGAGGAAATGATTAATTATTTTTAATTTTTTTCTTTTTTTTTTTTAAGAAGATTAAAAGAGATGAACAAGGAAATGATTGGACGAATAAGTTTAAAAATATTCGTAAAAATTGAAAGTTGTGACTTATTATTTTAATTATTATTAATATTTGGAATTATATTAAATATGACAAATTCTAATCTTAAGATGAAAAAAAAGGAAAAATTGAATATAAATAATAATAAAATAAATAATTATTGTAATTAATATTCAGTAGAATCGTTTAATCAAGAAAAATGGATTAAATTTTATAGAAAAAGAAAATTAATTTCTCAAGAAAATATGATAAAATTATTATAAAGGTAAAACTAGGTCGCCGTGGAAACTTTTAATGAGTTTCCTAGAGAAATTGATTTTTTTTTTTTCACAAAGAAATGCAATTGCAAAAAATAAAAAGAAATTTGATATTAAAATAAAATATCATTCAAAGATTCGTGAAAACAATTGTTTAATTTTTTTCAAGAGTACCATTACGCCACGAAACACGGATTACACAGCATAAACGCCACTAAAGTAAATTAGAACAGGAGATTGAACTTCGAGGAAGTCTGGGTTAAACGGGATAATATTACATTTTTTTTCCAAAGCAAGAAATAAACTGTTATTCTCGACTGAAATTATATTAAGGAAATACTTTTTCAGGGAAAATTACTTATTGTGCTTCTAAAAATTATAGCATAATATAAACAAATTTTTCTTACATATAATGATCTATAAATAAATTTACAATTGTTTTGCTGATTCTGATTGCGACTTCATTAAAAAGTATTCTTTATAAATATTTTAAATATTTTTAAATATTTTCTACAATGACTAACAAACTGTTATTCAATTCACATTAAATCGAGCGAAATACCATTTATATTAACTTAATATAATTTATCCTAGTTGAATCGTTTTTTAATTAAATTTTTTTTTTTAGGTAGAAATAAAAATTAAAAAAGACAGAAATTAATTTTAATTGTATCCTTTGCAAAATATAAATATAATGTGACACACATAAAACTCATATAAAACAAATGTAACAATTCAATAAAAAAGGAAAATCTCGATATAAATGAGTTTAAAACGTTTATTTGACAATGACTTTTTAGAACGAAAGTAAAACGAATTGCACACACAAAATCTATATTTTTAATGGTTAAATTCATTTTCCCTTTTACAATGCACCGTAATTTTCCATTTCCTTCCACGTAGAAAAAGAATGAAAAAAAGACCTACTCGTCCTAGCATGAACTTCTCACAGGATCGTTACATTTTCCTCGAATCGTTGTACTTTACAACTTTACGATCTTCTTTTTCTTCTTCTTCTTTCGCTCGTGAAACACGTGACGCAAGAACTCATATCGGAAATAGCATTAGAATCAATAGAACAAAACTCTATCTCAGTTTTGACCTACAAAAATTGATTGAAAAATAAAATTCATCTCTGAATTTAAATAATGCGGTTATTGACGATGGATAATCCAGGTATAAGTGTTTTTGGAAAATTAAACATGATATATCGAAGCTGAAACTCGTAAATAAAGTTTGTTTATATCTCTGAAAAGATACCAAATGTATTTATAGTTAATCTCTATTCTGTATACACTTTGTATTTCACTAATTGTATATTGTATTTCTGATAAAATTTAAGTGACAAAATATTCAAGTCCAAATAAATAAATTTGCGAAGTAAATAATATTTTTAGAAAAAATTGATATAATTTAAAGTTATTAAAATTATATAAATATAAATTTAATAATGTATATCGATTGTACATAATAAATTATGTTCAATCAGATAGCTGTAAACAAAATACATATAACTGTAAAGTATCTACTAGTCGATCCTTCTATTTTTTTTTTTTATTTAGAGAGATCACGTTTGCTATGAAAACTGAAATTGATTCTTCTCGTGTGTCGGGAACAAGAACGAAAATAAAATATCATAACGATCATTGAACGTTGGAGCGAGGCGAAATTTATTCCGAGATAACAGTAGCGATTCCATTGTGGATCAAACTTAATTAATATCGTCGTGAATAATTCAACGACATAATTACGGCTAGAAATATCTCCTACAATTTCCTTTTGTTCGTTGATTATTCTTGGCAGAAGATTTTAATATAAATTAATCGTTAATGAATTGTTTTATCTGTCTATGTATAAAATAATAATGTATTTCGCTCGGATGTTACTAAAGTTAGTTTAAAAAAGTTGTTAACTTTAAAAGTTCGTAAATAAGAATTGTTATTTCAATAACAATGTTTGAATAAGTTTATACAACAATTATATTGTGACTATAGATGATTGAAATCGAAAATAAGAATATTAAATGTAATTTGATAACCAACTTCTTTATAAATTCAATTTATTGGTAAATGTGCTGTATCTGATATTTTTGATCGAAATATGGTGATATTTAGTTTATAATATAAAATATAAATATTAATGAAATTTATTTCAAATTTATATTTCAAATTTATATTTTAATTATATTAATAAAAAAAAAAGAAAAGAGCAAATCGAGATTAAATAATTAATACAGTAATATTTTAAAAATAAAACCTTATATAATTTAACTTTCCTATAAAAAATTATACAGAAACACTTTTGGAAAGGATATCTTTTTTTTTTTTTTTTTTTTTTTTT